AGGCACAGTTGCTCTGCCCCGGGCTTCCTGGAATCAGCGGCTGATCAGTTTCAGCAGCAGCTGACTTGGGGTTCTTAAGTTGAATCTGTATGTAAGTCAGAACTGGCGGTCACTTTCAGCAGCGGCTGAATCTGGACGCCAGTTCCGATTTACATACAGATTCAATTTAAGAACAAACCTGCAGTCCTTATCTTGTACATAACCCGGGGACTGCCTGTACTAAAACGCATATAAACAGAAGACCATTATATTGACAGCAGCTGACTTGGGGTTCTTAAGTTGAATCTGTATGTAAGTCAGAACTGGCGGTCACTTTCAGCAGCGGCTGAATCTGGACGCCAGTTCCGATTTACATACAGATTCAATTTAAGAACAAACCTGCAGTCCTTATCTTGTACATAACCCGGGGACTGCCTGTACTAAAACGCATATAAACAGAAGACCATTATATTGAGTACTTTTTTGTTTTGGCTCCCACCCACGGGCCATGTGTTGAGTCCCACGTAAACCCAAAATGGCTTGTGGAAACATGCAGGAAATATTTAATCTTAAACTGAGTTAGATTATCTGTGAATTAATCCCAGAGAAAACATTCTCTCTCTCCAACTGAGTGAAATCTAGCAAATATGCATACTAATTGGGCAAAATGTGACCTTATGACCTTTTGGCGATCTAGCATAAAAGTGTTGTCCTAAGATGAGGTGAGTATTTCAGGATCCTAACAATATTAGTGTTGTGTATCTCTGCAATTTTGAAGAGGCAGGGTCAAACATTGCTGTTTCATCAGTCTGATTAATTGAAAACAAAATATGATTGTTCAAACATAGGCATTTTTTTCTGTTTCAGAGAATAACTAATCAATTTTTTATGACAACCTGAGTCCTTTATAAAAGCCACCATACTTCAGCTTAAACAAACATAATTCAAATGATTCCTTTCACTTTGACTTCTGCTCATTTTTATTAGCAATTCTATATAACAGGTTTATAGTTCAAGATGATCTGTCACCTTTTATCTACTATGCCTCAGCAAGGGCATATGAAAAGATAACACTAAATTTACAAAATACAGGACTATGTAGCACTTTAAAGACTAACAAGATGGTTTATTAGATGATTAGTCTTTGAAGTGCTACATAGTCCTGTATTTTGTTTCAGCTACACCAGACTAACACGGCTATATTTCTATCACTAAATTTACAGTGCTTGATAAAACAAGGAAAACTTAATTACAATTTCTTTAAGAAAGCAGATGAATTCTAGAGACCAGAGAAAGACAAACTCCATGTTGGGAAGAAACGAATATGAAAATGAAAGGAAAAGAGAGACATAGAATACTATATACAAAATCAGAGTGTCTTCAGAATAGAGAAGCAAAGGAAAAAATAAAACAGAATGAATGAATTGGATTCTGGAAAGAAGTCATATAGCTTGTTGTGATATGTTCATGTTCCAAAGCCTTTACTGAAATTTTCATTGCTTGTTTGAAATGAGTCATATATATCCAAGCTGCAGGACGGATTTAAAAGAAAAAAAGAAGGAGGATGGAAAAGTTAATTTGCATTTACATCTATTTTTAAGATAAACAGAAAACTCTTCAACCAGAAATTAAATTGTATCAGAAGGATAGTCAATAACTTCAGAATACTGTTATGATTTTATCCCTTATATTTTAAATAAGTCTTTTGGGTCTGGGCAAATTTCTGAAAAAGCACGTGTTCCTATAATTTTTCAAACAAACGTAACTGAAATGAAGGCCCTTGTTCCAGGGGCGCCATTTCAGATTTTGGTAGGGGGAGATTGACCTATACATGCCGTGATGTGTGGGAAAGAGAGTGAGAGCATGGGGAGGCAGACTGAGGACAGTGGCTTCAGCAGTGTTACTGAGCATGCTCAGTACAGAACCAATTCCTTCCCCCCCCCACCACTCCACATCATCTCTATTCCAGGGCTACTAAGGCACTGGAAAACTCTGCTTTTTTTTGGCAGACAACTTAGCAGTTAGCAGGAGCATTAATTCCCATATAAAAGAAAGAAAATTAAATAAATATTAGACCCACTCAGCTCTAACACTAAGGTATTCTGACATCTTGTGGCAAGTTACTTAAGGGACACTAGTTAGCCTTAAAATGTTAATGTATATTCTTACTTTGTTACTAACTCTGGGGGGAGAGAGACACCCCGTCGGGACTCCTGGGTGCTCTCTCAGCTCTGCAAGGAAAGTGGGATCTAGTGGGTTACAGCAGGGGGCAGATACATTTCAGCTCTATATAAAAAAATCAGAATGGCCTACTGGGTCACACCAAAGGTCCTTCTAGCCCAGTATCCTGTCTTTCATCAGTGACCAATGCCAGGTGTGTCAGGAGGAAAAAACAGAAAAGGCAATCATCAGATGATCCATCCCATGTCACCCATTCTCAGCTACTAGCAAACAGAAGCTAGGGACACCATCTCTGCCCATTCTGGCTAATGGCCATTGACGGACCTATGCTCCTTGAACTTATTTTGTTCTTATTGGAACCCTGTTGTAGTTTGGGCCTTTCCACCATCTCTTGGCAAAGAGTTCCACAAGCTGACCCTTGAAAAAATAATTTATTTTGTTTATTTTAAATCTGCTGCCTATAAATTTAATTGGGTCAGCTTTTTGTGTTATGTTAGCGAAGGAGTTAATAACATTTCCTTATTCTATTTTTCCACACCATTCATGATTTCTGGACCTCTAACATATCCCCCCACTCTTTAATCATTTCTTTTCCAAGCTGAAAGGTCCCTGTCTCATTAATCTTTACTCATATGGAAGTTGTGCCTTACTCCTAATCCATTTCACTTTTCCAAATTCAATACAGGCAGTCCCCGGGTTACATGGATCCGACTTACATCGGATCCCTACTTACAAACGGGGTGAGGCAACCCCGCACTAGCTGCTTCCCCCCAGCAGACCAGGGAGACGCAAAGCTAGTGCCCCCCCCCCCAGCAGACACCTCAGCTTGAGAATAAAGGACCGAGGGAAGTGAGGTATGGGAGAATAAAACTGAGCTCTGGAGAAATGTTTGGCTAGAGTTTCCCCTACAATACGTACCAGTTCCGACTTACATACAAATTCAACTTAAGAACAAACCTACAGTCCCTATCTTGCACGTAACCCGGGGACTGCCTGTATATCTTTTTTTAGATGGGGTGACCAGATCTGCATACAGTATTCAAGATGTGGGTGTACAATGATTTTATACAGAGGCAACATGGTATTTTGTCTTATCTATTCCCTTTACTAATGATTCCCAATATTCAGTTTGCTTTTTAGTTTTTAAACTGCCACTGCAATTGAGCGGATGTTTTCAAGGAACTATCCACAAGGATTCAAAGATCTCTTTTTTGAGTGGTAACAGCTATTTTAGGCCCCATCATTTTTGTACCAATAGTTAGGATTATATTCCTCCTTCCGCCCCAGTGCATTACTTTGCATTTATCAACACTATCTTCCATTTGCGTTGCCTAATCACCCAGTTTTCTGAGATACCTTTGTAACTCTTTGCAGTCAGCTTTGGATTAGTCTCCTAGCAGCACCTTAAAGACTAACAGAACATGTAGATGGTATCATGAGCTTATGCGGGCACAACCCACTTCTTAACTTAAAGCCCATGCCCTAACTCCATTTATTTGAAGAAGTGGGTTGTGCCCATGAAAGCTCATGATACCATCTATGTTTTGTTAATCTTTAAGGTGCTGCTAGACTAGTCATTGTTTTTTAAGTTTTCCAGTTACAGACTAACTCTATCTTCTGAAGCTTAGATTAGTCACTGTTTACCTCCTTTTCAAGAACATTTATGAGAAGTTTAACAGCAGTGATCCAAATTCAGGTCTTTGCAGTGCAACAATTTTCTCCCCTATCTTTTAAGTGTAGTACCGGACAATGTTTTCATGATGATTTAACGATCCTTCAATTATCTGGATAACCAGCTTTTAGTTATTCTTAATCATCCTGCTCCTCACTCTTTTTATAACAGACTTCCTGCCCCAAAGACAAAGCTGCAAGCAGCCTGAACTATTGCATTTCAGAGCTTCAGAGATGGGTAGACATGTTAGTCTATAACTGGAAAAACCCACTTCTTCAGATGAATGTAGTTAAGACATGGACTTTAAGCAGACATAAAGAATGAAATCCAGGGGTTCAAACTCAGGAGGGGGGATTACAACTCCCCAGTCTCCCATAAATAGTGCCCCCTGCCATGTTCTCACCAAGAAAAAAGTTGTTTTTTAATATGTCCTAGCTAGCACATAGTAAAATTGTACTACAGTATGTGCAAGGCAGTTTGTAGTTTTCACATGTCAGATGGTCAACATAAACTCTAAGCTTGCCCAAACTGTTTACGTCAACCTGCTAAGGTGAAAAATAAAAACTGCTTTGTCCATGTGATGATTTTGGTAAAATTCTAATTTTACCACATTGGCTAATGCTTTAATTATGTTTTTCCTAATGTGAACCTGCTTTCTGTTTTCAGATGCAGAAGCTGTTCTAATTCTGAGAACACAGTTCAAGCCAGGAAGTAGGAAAAATGTTATCCAGCAGAAGTTACATGGGAATTGTAGGTACACAGACTGCAATTATCTAAAATGACTTTTTTTAGGATACTAGGCTTACTATTCCTACAGAAAGAAACATGGGATCTTTAATGACCATGAACAGAATATCAATATTTTAAAATCTTATTTGAAAGACTGTATCTGTAACAGCGCAATGTTCTCTAAAATTATGCTGACATACTGGTTCAGCACTGACTCAGAGGAAAGGAAAGCCATTGCTGAAATGACAACACATTTTTTGGAACCTATATATTTTCCCCAGATGAGAATGAACTAAGGCTCAGTGCATATAAGGTGGACTGACGGTAATCTTCTTTGATTGAGGGAACTATCTCAACAATATATGGCATGAATATCTTTTGCCCCTGTGAGTGCTAGGACAAATACTTTTGATGATTGGAAGTAGAATTTGGGGTCTTGCACATCCATTTTCTGTTTGAGGCAGAACTCAGTGGTGAAGAGGCAGGTGAAGGTCAGTGCAATTTGCTTATAAACAAACTAAGTTTCCTTGAATAGCCGGGATAATAAACAGCTTACAAGCAACTCCTTCTTGCAGCTATCCCAGGGAAAAGCACCTTTGCCCAATTCCCAGAAGCAGCAGTCTTGTATCTGGTCTCCTTCCAGACCCTCTCCCATGCATCATAACTTAACACATAATTTCTCTTGTCTTCCCTCAGATACTGCATTTTGCTTGGGAAAATGCCTAATGGAAGCTGCTAAGGCTGCACATGCTGGCCAGGTAGGCATGTACTTCCTGATGATTCCTTACCTAATCTTGGAGGGTTTATTGTTTTGAATAACCAATTCTCATTTTCCTGGCCAGCCTCAACTGTCCTGTGGCTGGCAGACTCCCACGATTGGTCCTCTCTCTCTCCTGAGGCAGTCTTGGACAAATTACCAAATTGCTCTATTGTTTCTAGCGTGCAGAGCCTCTTGATGTCTGAGACTTTTTCCTGGGTCCTAGGGAGAATTCAGTAGGACTCATCCAGGTGAATGCACCTTCCATGATGACTGTTCCACTGTTTGGGCAGCTGAACCTGCTCAGTCTTCAGCATCCATATGTATCCTAGATGTTGCCCCCAGCCCTCCTTCTGTCCACACAGAAAAACCTCTAACCCCTTCTTGAGGGTGCTTTAAACCAGAACTGGCACGCATGACTGATGGTATAGGCTTGAGCTTAAGTTTTGGTGTAGCCCAGGCTGACAACCCAGACAGTGAAACTGTAGGCTAATGTAGTCCTCCAATCTTCTCTCATAATTCTATCTAGACTATACTCTCGTATAAATTTTCCCTTGGTCTACATTGCGTTTTAACCTGATTTGCTGGCTCCTTTTCTGCTACACTTCCTCAGCATTTGGACAGATTCTATACAAAAAATGCTTATCCCATGCTTCAGCAGACTAAAAGCTGACACCGGCTGGTAAAGCTGTGATGTGATAGCAGCAAGACCCATAATTTGGGGTAACCATTGTGGAAGAAAACATTGTCCTCACTCTGCGTTGTGTTTAAGCAACAAGTAGCCAGAGGCAGTTTTATTACGAGCTGCAGCAAGGGAAAAACTGGTTCGGACAGGGGAGGAGCCCCCCCCCCGGCAGATCTTCGAATACAAGCAATTATGAAGCAGTTTATATACTGTCTATTAGATATAATAACAATAACAATTAGTCTCCTTCCCATTACAAACACCAATGGCTAACAGTTATTTAGTTCCACCCAGATGCTCCTTATCTCAAGGTCTCTGTCAGAGTCAGCATTCTATCCTTATCTCCGTATGGAGGCGAGAGGCAAAGGCAGCGTCTAATTACAGATCTCGTGTTGTCAGGCCACAGACTTAGCCTGACTCTTGCTCTCTCGTTAACAAGACCAAGATGGCTGCACACAAATTCCCTTATTTCCTTTTCCTGCCTCCACACTATACACAAAGTAACATTTTTAAGTGCAGTGGGCAGAAAGGAAACGGAGGGGCAGAGACATCAGCTGGTTGCATTATGATTCACTTTGTGATTTGCACACTGAATTCCTTACTGATGTTCTCAGTAAAAGTTCCTGCAATTTGCTTTCTTCATAACTGTGTACATTAATGAGCAACACCAGTTGGAAGTTTAAATCAAGTGTTTTTATCTTGTCACTGTCATCGACAGCAGCTCCATACTAGTATTCTATGCCAAAAAAAAATAAAAAAATTCTGCATCATTCTACAAATTTTGTCAGAATAACACTATATAATCTCACCAGTTTCAGTTATTTTGGTAATTTATTTCAAAATACCTGTGAACAAGTATGTCCATAACAATCCAGACACACAAAATTTTTTTTCAGATGTTGAAAGTTGAAGAAACTTGTATAACAATCCACTTCCTATTGATTTCTCTACTCTACACCCCCCCACCCCACTCCCCACCCCAAAGAAACCAGCCAGAGGGAGGAGGGCAGTCACCAGAACCCCAGACCCCACCATTAGACTCCTCCCAGCCAATAAAATCCACCCCCCCGCTCCTTTCTGCAGTCCAGCCATGGAGGCCCCTCTTCCTCAGGTATCTATCCTGCTCGTAGTCAGAGCCCATGGATCCAGCAGGAAGAAGTCCGATGGTCAGTCCTGGGCTTGCTCAGGGTAGGAGCAACTAGTGAGGGATTACATAGGGGGCCACCAGCCTTGTGACACTCCCATCTTGATGGGGAAAGGCCCAGGACAACCCCCCTCTGCCCTAGGCCCCGCCTTTGCTCTAACCTTTCCCTGCCCTTGCTGGGTCCCTTCTCTGCATCTTCCCCCAACCAATGTGGCCCAGGGAATTAGTAGAGTGGGGGCCTGGCATTGGCAGTGTTGATCCAACCCCTTTCCCCACTCACTGGCCTCTCCCCCAGCCATGTCATTCCACTACCCACCAGTGGGGGAGGAGGAGAGGGCAGTCCCACCTTTCCCTCAAGTGACGTAAGGATAGCAGATGAGATGTGGTCGTTTTGGTCTGCTTCCCCGGACACTGGCAGTGACTGTGAGGGCACCAGGCATCCCTGTTCATCCCCCAGGCCACCCAAAGGCTCTGGCTTGTTCTCTGCCCCTCCCGCATCCCGCCCATGGCATTTTTGGGTGTGCATGTCCCCTCATGCTACCCATGCATTGCACCTGCCTCAGGGCATTCTTGGAACTGCAGTTGCCAAGAATTCTAGCTCCTTCTCCCTCTTCCCAGGCTGTCTCTTCCATGTGCAAGCTGGCTCTGCTGAGTCCAATGGCAACTAGTGGCAGCTATCACTGCAGTCCATTTCTATGGGGGGAAAGGAAATTGTGTGCATGTTAATTTCTGCAAAATTCTGCATTGCACAGTAGTGCAGAATTCCCTTAGGGGTCTTCCTAAGCATACTAAGTCTAAAGTTAAAGAAAAAAATAATTTGTTACAGTAGATCTATATCCTTCAAAATGAGACATCGCTCAGACACTCCAGATATTTTTTTTCTTCTTGATAGTATATTCATTTAAAGGGCAACAATCGACTATCTACTTCAGGTGCTCTGAGTTAAGTATTTTCAGACTATTTTTAAAATGAAAATACTATGTTGTTTCATTATTCTTTGGCATTCAGGGACAAGTGCACCAAATACCCTGCATACAGCTGAACTGTTAAATTCGGCCAGCTGGGTGGAACAAGTCAATATCTGAGTATCAAGAGGGTCAAAGCTAAGCTTTATAAAGTTCCTAGCATAGAACACTTCAGCTCTCAGACTGATGTTTTTATTAAGCATTGATATTGTGGTTGCACTTAGCTCTCATAAATCAATTTATCTCTATTGTGTTAGGTGCTGTACAAACATCAATCCCTCCCCAAAGGACTTACAAAGTAAAATATAAAACAGAGGGACAAAGCACACAATGGTGGTGGGTAACAACCTAAAAGGATGTGCACAAATCTCAGTCATTTAACAATTTATTACACATCTAGTCATCCAATTGTAGTGGGCTGTGTGCATTAAGGAAGAGGTGGGTTCTGAGGAGGGCTACTGAAAAAAGACAGGATGGTGGCCTTGCTGATTTTGACTGGAATTTTTTTTCCTACATTTGTGAAGTAGGCAGGGCTGGGAGAAAGTGCAAATGCACTTGTCAGCAACGACCAAACAGCTGACAAAATAGAAAAGAAACTGACCAGTAAATTTATGCTGACCAGCTGCACAAATGGCTGACTATCATAAATGTCATAATTTAAGCATGAGAGGTCAAATGTAAAAAAGATTCAAGAAGGAAACAGAGGACAGTGTAAAATTTTGTTATCTAGGCATATCAAATAATGTGATAGGTTTAGCAAAATTAAAGACAGTAACTAGTTTTATCTATATAATGTAAATGAAAGCCATGCTCATTGGGAACCATCTCCAGCTGCTGGAACTCTGAACCCTCTGTATGACTGTGGTGTGCAGAGGCATTACCAGAAACCTGCAGATGAGTGGATCCTGACTGGGCATCAGGTACAGTTTGTCTGTATAATAGGAGTGGTGAGCAGTTGCTTGGCATGTGTATTCTGTGTATGTTGCTAATAAACAGATGTTTAGAGCGCACCTGTGTAAGACTCAGTGGGAAAAGGTGCCACAGACATGTAAAGCCCTGAAGAAAAGTAGCAGCTAAATTAACTGGTAGTCCTGTGGCACCTTAGAGACTAAAAAAATATATATAGTATCATGAGCTTCTGTGGGCAAAACCTATTCCTCTCCAGCTCATCAGTGGGTTTTGATCATGAAAGCTCATGTTACTATGTATTTTTTGGTCTAAGGTGCCATAGGATTACTCATTTTTAAAGTTACAGACCCTCAGACAAAATTAATTAGATTATGCAGTGAGCCTTTGCTAGGGTACAGGGGGGTACCCTAAACTTTTGTGGGTAACAATGAATTTCAGTAACAGGGAGGTTAATGGAGATATTAGATTGATTCTCTACTGTGAGAGTGGAGGGCTCTGCAGAAAGTTAAAAGCTTAGTTTTGCAGATGTCATGTTTCAGTTGATGACTGGACATATACCAGACAAATAGGGATAAACCACAATTTGAGTCTGGAAATGTTAACAAAAATTGAAGTCACCAAGAACATACAACTAGGGATGTTAAATAGCAGTTAGTAAGCTAATTGAGTAATTCCATCAACTACTCAGTTGATAAGGGGGTTTACTGCAGCTCTGCACAGGGCTCCTACTACATTTAAGAAGCAGAGGTGCAGCTTCTAAAACCCAGCCAGAGCCAGGACTGCTCAGAAGCAGCTTGTGCTGGGTCCCCCGCTGTGCCTCTGCTTCCCCTGGTCCCTTGCCAGCTTTTCCCAGCACCAGCTCTTGCTCCCCCCACTTGCTGTTACAGAGGCTGCAAGGGAAGCAACTAGTCGAGTATCAGAGGGGTAGCCCTGTTAGTCTGAATCTGCAAAAGCGGCAAGGAGTCCTGTGGCACCTTAGACTAACCGAAGTGTTGGAGCATAAGCTTTCGTGGGCAAAGACCCACTTCATCAGTTGACATGCATCTGACGAAATGGGTCTTGAGCATAAGCTTTCGTGGGCAAAGACCCACTTCATCAGTTGACATGCATCTGACGAAATGGGTCTTGAGCATAAGCTTTCGTGGGCAAAGACCCACTTCATCAGTTGACATGCATCTGACGAAATGGGTCTTGAGCATAAGCTTTCGCTAGTTGAGTAGTGACTCAACCTAGGCTTATCGGGTAGTGAACTGCTTGACCAGCTGCTTACATTCCTACATACAACTGACTGTCAGGATAGGAGGGGAGTAAAATCCTTACTACACAGGATGCCCTCCATCTCCACATAGGAGCTCCTCTCACCCATACACACACAAATAATCCACCACCAATAAGCAGCAGACACAAGCAGGCAAGGCTGGAGCTACACTAAGGAGTATTCACTAAGGACAATGCTGACCACAGTGACATGGAAAGCAGATACAAGTTCTCTAAGTCCAACAGAACAGACAGAAAGGGATAAACAGCCATTGGTCTTGAAAGGAAGAAAGCTGAAGAGAAATCTAGCAAGGTCTTTCTGCGGGGCTGATATCCACAAACATACAACTCCCATCTTTCTGCCATGCCTGTGAGAAGACTGCATGAGCCAAAGTTTAATTACTTTGTTCTCTCGCGATGCCTTTCCATACAGAAAGTACCTGGACCCCACTGAAGCCAATGAGGCCTTGCTATTGACTTCAAAAGAACCAGGATTTCACTCGGTTTCTTTGTTTGGTTTAATACAGACTTAAATATCATGATAGCACAAGAAACGCACCATTATTTAAAAAGAGCTGTCGTTTATTGTTCCCTTTGCCTCAGTTTGTAGTTCTGGTCATTCTTCTTGTATATACATTATATACACAATTTCTTCCTGCTTCGTTATTGCAGCGAGCTTTACTACGAATTGTCCATATTTTGACAACTTGTGTATGAGATGGATAAGCTGTGTCTGATTTGTAAATCCCATAATAGCTGACGAGTATAGTCCATTTATTACATTTCTCTCTTCAAATATATTGTTTTACAAAGCTCACTATGCCCACAGTATTCACTCTTCTTGAAATACAAAAAAAATGTGTTCTTAATGTAGTACAAAATACAACACAACATTTTGACTTATTTATACAAGCAGGCACCATTTAGGTACAAGTACAAGATGCTAAAAATCTCAATTATTACATGCAATAAAGGAACACACAAAACAATTTAAAATTAAAATTCTACAAAAAGTCCTTTATGGATTTGGCACTTTTACCATGTGTAACAGCATAGCACTCACTAGTGCAATCATCCATAGTACCTCATACAATACTAAACACTGTATAAATAGTTCACACCATGCACTTTTACTTCTGGGAAAAAAGATACAACAATAAAAAAATGCCTAGTTCATAAAGCCTAGAGGTCAATTACAGTAACTAATAGAAAAAGCAGAACCACATCTGCTATAAATCGTCAATTCAATGTCAGGTAACCAAAATTATAGGTTTATGCTGAACACAATTTTATGTTCAAACACAGAGATAACCAGCATAATACCAAAACCTAACAGGATTCCAGCATTTTGTAACAGGAAATATCCCCAACGGCTACATCCATGATCACTAGCATCATTGTGGAGCATTTCAGGCACCTAAATAATAATAATAAAAATATATTAACATCTTCAAAAGAGTCATTTGTTCATTTGACTGAAATGCAAGTAGACTGGAATCTCTGTAGTTCCACTGACTTTAATGATACCACATTTGGTTTGTTATATCCTCATGAGTAAGGATATCAGAACCTGCCTCCAAAAAGCTCATCATACCTGGGGAAATGATGATGTTGCATAAGTCTAATCAGCACCATCTATTTTCAGGAATTATACCACATGAAATTAATTCCTTCTGATATTATTGGCGTGAAGTAGGGATGTAATACAGTTTAAAATGTTAAATGGTTAAGCTATGTGTTTAACCAGTTAACCATCCTGCCACATTGCTCTGTGATGGGCCCAGCTGTCCTGGAGTAAACAACTCTACTTGTGTCATGCCGTGGGTGGGGGACTGCTCCAGCCAGGCAGGCAAGACCTGCTGCACCGTGCCACAGGGCCTACCCAACCTAGAACGCCTCCCACCAGTGGCATGACACAGTGGGCCCAGCTAGGTATGTAAGCAACTAGTTGGAGTAGTCAACTACCCAATAAGCCTACCACAGAGGGGGCCGAGCATGAGCTAGGAATCAGCTGATTCCTGGCTCAAACCTGGTCCCCCTCTGCACCTCTGCCTCTTAAAATGTAGTAAGAGCCAGGCAGCTCTTACTACATTTAAAAAAGGGCAGAGCCACAGCAATATTAGTAGGAGCAGCGCGGGCGGAGACTGCTTAGTCCCAGCTCATGCTGGAGCTACCCCTGCTGTGCTCTGCACTTTATATGCATTAGGAGCCAGCTGGTAGCCCAGGCTCCTATTACATTTAAACTGCAAAGCCACAGTGGGATAGCACCCCCCCCACCCCCACTGACTAATGGAGTAGTCAATGGAAATTCCATCCACTACTCTGTTAGCTGATACCTGCATTTTAACATCCTTAGGCCCAGCTGGGCTGGAACAGACTCCTGCCTGCAGCTCGGTGGGCCAGGTGATGGTTAACTGGTTACCCCCTCCCCACTACACATGCCATTTAGGCAACGTTTACTGGGTAACTGGTCACCTCTTTAAAATCCCTAGTGTATAGCTGATTTACAAATTTAAAAAAATCTGATTTTCATAAACAGTTCTAAAAACTGGAAAAACAAATTTGTACATTTCTGCTAATTAAAATGATTTTCCGTTTGTAGCACTGTTAGTTGAACCCAGAAAGGTGCTAAAGATTTACTTCAAGTGTGCAGCATCTCTCAGGGTCAAGCCAATAGTGTACATCTAGTCCATTGTACCATTATCCAATACACCAACCACTGCACCTTTATCACTAATAAATTGCTATTAAAAAATTGAAAAAAAAAGATTGAAGATAAACACCTGCCACCCTCACTATTCATTTTTTTTTAAATCTCATGTTTTTGCCTCAATATTTACATTATCCTTTAATGTTCCATCATTTTCTAAATAGAACAAACCAAGAACCCAAACAATTTTACTCAAAGCAGTAACATTAAGTTACATTGTAAAGAATCATTAGGCATGTTCATTTACAGAGAATTTTATATTAAGCATAAAAAAATTCCAGCAATATTCCAATTTGGCATAAAAATTCAATTATCTAAATAGGAACTTTGAATGCATTACACTGCTCACAATAGGATATTTAATGTTAATGTACTTGTTTGAAAAGTTTCCTTAAGAACAAATTAAAGGGTGCATTTCTTAACCAAAAGACTGCTACAACACACCTGGTCAATATTTTCTTAGAGAAAAGAAAGCCTCTTCCTATTTTATGACAAACTTATTTTGATATTGGTTCTGAATCTCACTTACGTAAACAGTAAGTAGTTCTAGTCATATATACTTACCATATCAACAAGAGCCACATACATGAACAAGCCAGCAGTAAGTGCAAATATCCACATTGAAACATTGTCAGCATAGTGACCAATAAGAATCCCAGTTGCCATTCCAAGATATGCTAACGTAGCTGACAGAGCATTATAAAGAACAGCTTGTTTGACAGTCATGCCAGCTTTTAGAAGTACCGCAAAATCTCCTATAGCAGAAAAGAAAGCATATTTCACACTCATGTAACTATTGTAATATATATAGTAACATTTCTTTTTACCATTTAGTTCAATGTATTCATTCTATTTTAGAGCCCGTAATTGGCTTTCATCAAAGTTTGCCTCCACAAAGTAGGTTGCTTAAGGAGAGATAAGTCAACTTCATAACCACAACCTATAATATGAAAAACCCTGCACACAAAATTGAAAACCAACTAAAATTTTGATCATCTGAAAATTACATACTGTGGGGCTTATCTGATTTAATTATTTAACCGAAGTATTTTGCAGTACACAACATCACTGAACACTATATAGTTATTCATAAAGTGACTCTGATGGATTTTGAAAAATATTGTTATGTGTTATGTTCTTATCATAGTTCTACCAGTTATTCAGTGATTTTTCTAAATAAATACTTTATACTGTATCTCAGCCATGGGATAAGGATTTCTTTACTCACGTCTATAAAAGTGACCTTGTGTATTTCAGTTTCACTAGAATGATTCACAGCAGTACTAATTTGAAATGGATGAGTAGGCAAATATCTATATGCCACTCCAAACTCACAGTAAAGGAAATTGCCACATTTTGTAGTATTTACCTCTTACATACATATATGTTTGCAAAGAATTCTGCTCTGGAGAATGTGATCCCCTCTTGCTAATACTTATGTAACTAGGGATATTAGATATAATTTATTTTAGTAACTGTGTAGCCACAAGTTTTTAGCAGTTACACAGTTACTAAAATGTTCCCCTGGGAGCAGGTATGGCAGTCAGTGCACTCCCAGTCCCACTCACGAGGAGACTCCTGCCACCCAGTGCTGCTGCCTCTGTATCAAAGGCAGGAGTGCAGGGTAGCAGGGGGAGCCAGTCTGAGAGGAGAGCTGGTTTAAAAGTTGGCTCCCCTGCAGACCTGCTCCCACCTGCCGCCCCATCCTGCCTCTTCTGAGGCAGAGGCAGTAGTGT